TCCTCGCTCTCTTTCTGTCCCTCTCACCCTCACAGGAACCATCGGCCTTAGAGCACAGTGCCTGTGAAGGGCCTGGTGTGGTAAGGCATCTGCCGTGGCACGAGAGCATCCTCAACTGGTCCTCAACTGGTCCTCAAATGGCTATCTGTCCTCCATGCTCCTCCTCCTCGTTCCCACCCTCACTCTTTTTGTTTTTGCAGGACCCATCCGCGTTGGAGCATGCGCCAGTGAAGGTCCTGGTGGTGGTGGAGCATCTGCCATGGCATGAGAGCATTCTCAGCTATGCCTGTCCTATTCTTCATGCTCCTCCTCGTTCTTTCCCTCTCACAGGACCCATCCGCCTTAGAGCATGCGCCAGTGAAGGGGCTAGTGGTGGTGGAGCATCTGCCGTGGCACGAGAGCATTCTCCGGCTGTACCTCCCTGCTGGGCTCGTCTCGAAGCTCATTCAAGAGGTGTGTACGAGGCTGCTTGCTGCTTGCTGGCTGGGTTTGGTGAGATCATTCCTACATCATGCTCAAAGCATTCTCTTCCCGTACCCCCTGCTGGGCTCGTCCCGGAGCTCATTCAAGAGGTGCGGGGCTTGCTGCTGCAGCGCACGGTGAGGGATGCGCTTTGTGAGATGAGGATTCTTAGGGCATGCTACAGCTTCAGCCTCCCTGCTGGGCTAGTCCCGAAGCTCTTTTGTTAAAAGGTTCGAGGCCGCTGTGTTAGGTGTGGGGAGAGAGGCATATTGTGAGTGCGGTTAAAATATGCCCACAGCTTCTTCCTTCCCGCTTCAGAGGTAGTGAGTGTGCGCCCTTTCCCTCCACTACGAATGCTTTTGAGTCGACTCAGAGGTAGTGAGTGTGCGCCCCTTCCCTCCACTACGAATGCTTTTGAGTCGACTCAGAGGTAGTGAGTGTGCGCCCCTTCCCTCCACTACGAATGCTTTTGAGTCGACTCAGAGGTAGTGAGTGTGCGCCCCTTCCCTCCACTACGAATGCCTCTCCTATGTATTCACCTCACCTCAGGGAGAAAAGCTGCTTCTGTCCAATTTAGAAACAGAGGACATAGACACGCCGGAGATTGTGTGTGTGTAGGCCCCTCCCTCCCTCCTCTACCAACTGACCTACTAATGCCTGTCCCATCCATACCCGCCCCACTCACCTCAGGTGAAATTAGAACTAAGAGTTACAAACGATCTATAGAACTAATTCTACTAATCCTACTAATGCCTGTCCCATCCAGACCCGCCCCAGTCACCCCAGGCGCAGAGCTGTTCCTATCCATCTAGACACGGAGGACATAGACACGCCCGAGATTGTGTGCGTGGACCCCTCCCTCCACTACCAACTCACCCCCTTATGCCTGTCCCATCACATGTATTCCCATGTATTCATCTCACCTCAGGGCGCGGAGCTGTTCCTATCCAACCTGGAGACGGAGGACATAGACACGCCCGAGATTGTGTGGAACGAAGACATGAAAGAGCGCCTGCGATGCTTCCTGGAAGCGGACTTGCAGCCATACGTGCAGGCACGGGCGGGGGACCCTCACGCGGTCTATGTGTACGAGCCCAAGCCACCGCTCGTGTATCCTGAACTCGCAGGTGAGCTTTGAGACGCCCTGATGGCTTAAGACGCGCCTCAGAAAGTGGGCAGGCGCCTCAGAAAGTGGGCAGGGGACCCTCACGCGGTCTATGTGTACGGGCCCAAGCTGCCGCTCATCTATCCTGAGCTTGCAGGTGAGCTTTGAGACGGTCTGGTGTCTGAGTCGGCTAAAAAAATACCTGCAGCCATAAGTGCAGGCATGGAGAGGGGAAACCCACGCGGTGTATGTGTAGGAGCCCAAGCCACCACTCGTATATCCTGAGCTCGCAGGTGAGTGTTGAGGCGCTCTGATGGTTAGATGAAACGGTTTGCTTTCGAGACGAAACGCCTGAACGGTGATATGATGTGGTGTGGCAGTTGAATGAGATGAAACGCTTTGTTGAGTGAACCCCATGCTGGCAGGAGTATGTATATGAGCCCAAGCCATCCCGTGTGTGTGTGAGAGGTTGCGTTGGAAGCATTGTTCTGCCATGTTGAGTGGAAGTTCCTTTCAGCACGATGTGACTACCTGCGCTCTGCATCTGTCTCTACCTTTTGAGAAAAACCACATCTTCGTTGTGCTTGTGTGGTGAATCTGCACAATGTGTTGCACGCGGAGAGGTTTCCTGAATGGTCCTTCATTGAGTCGACTCAAAAGTCACCTCTTCTACCATCCCAGTTGTGCTGGTGTACCTGCACAATGTGCTGCACGCGGAGAGGTTTCCTTGAGTGTAATTTCAGCACTCGGAGACGCTCAATTGACAACATGTTTCCTTCTTCCACCTTCCTCTCTCCCATCCTCTCTGCCTTCCTTTCTCCCTTTGCAGGCACCGTCTTTGTTGCGCCGGTGCCTACCATCCCAGTTGTGCTGCTGTACCTGCACAACGTGCTGATGCGGAGATGGAGAGGTGCCTCTTGAAGTGCTCTCGGCGCCCTGAGAGGCAGGCACCGTCTTTGTGGCACTGGTGTACCTGCACAACGTGCTGGATGCGGAGATGTTCCCTTGACCGTGCTTCCATCACCCTGAGAAGCTCCACTGTCCATGTTTCCTCTGCCTGCTCTGTGTGTATGCTTCTTCCTTCCATCCCTTCCATCCCAGGCACCATCTTCGTGGCACCGGTGTATCTACACAACGTGCTGGACGCTGAGAGGTTCCCGGCGCACCAAGTGTTTGACTCCACGTCCTTCCACCACAGCGTGCTGCGGGTGAGTGGAGTGCTGAGGGTGAGTGGCGTGCTGCGGGTGAGTGGAGTGCTGAGGGTGAGTGGCGTGCTGAGGGTGAGTGGCGTGCTCAGGGTGAGTGGCGTGCTCAGGGTGAGTGGCGTGCTCAGGGTGAGTGGCGTGCTCAGGGTGAGTGGCGTGAGGGTGCTATGAGTGATGAATCCAAGTTGAGGGCTGGTAGTCCTTGAGTTGACTAATGGAATGACGTGTCTAACGGTGCAGTGATATAACAGCAACTGCGTTCCCTCACATTCCCCCCCCACTCCCTGTCCCACCTGCCTCTCTGCTTAAGAGTATGGGCGCATTCCACATGCACCTCAGCAGGGGGCAGTGCGGTGGTGTGGCTGAATCTGTATTCCCTCTCACCTCTGTGCCCCATAAATCTCCTCTTCCCTATATCCCCTTCACCATCCCCATTATGTAAGCTCTCCCCTCCCCAGGAGTACGAGCCCATTCCGCAGGCCACCTCAGCAGGGGGCAGTGGTGCGGTGACATGTTTGGCAGAGAATGTTGTCCTTCTCACACCTCTTCCCTCTTTCCATCTCCCCGTCTCCCCTCCCCCATCTCCCCTTCCCCCATCCCCCTTTCATTTGTCCCCCTTCTCCCCTCCCCCCAGGAGTACGAGCGCATTCTGCAAGCCACGTCAGCAGGGGGCGGTGCAGTGACGTGGCGCCAGGAAGCCCCGCGGCTCGTGCTGCTGCTCAAGGCGCAGGTGAGGCGTCAGGTCCTAAAAACAGAGACGTCAGGTGGCGCGTCTGGTGCTAGCATCAAGTGAGGCATGCGGTGCCAAGAAGTGGTGCGTCAGGGTGTTAGCAGGTGAGGGATGAGGTGCGATCAGGGGGAAGCAGCATCAGACGTTTTGTCATCGAAAGGGGGAGTTCCTTTGCATCAGAATCCCAGGTGGTATCGCATCTGCTGCCCTGCTGTGCCTCTGCCCCTCTGCCTCCTAGGTTGTGATATTCCACAGGTGGCCGTCAAACTCCATGATAAAGAGGTGACTTTTGAGTCGACTCAAAGTCTCCTAGGTTGTGGATATTCCACAGGTGGCCCTCGAACTCCATGATAAAGGGCTCTACACCATTTCCACCTTTCAGTTGCTCGTTTCTTGCATTCTCCTTGCCTCTCTCTGTTTCCTTGTTCCCCAGGCAGACATTCCAAACCTGCATCTATCCCTCCCTCCATCCCGTTCTCCACACCCTCCCAGGCAGTGATTCTGGACTGCTATCCGCGGTTCCTTGTGTAGAGGCGGAGAGTGTAGTGATCGACATGGCGACCCCAGCGCTGCATGTGTGCATCGCTCTGAAGGATGACTTCTCAAACGCTTCTTGCCTCATTCTTCCTCTTCAATCATCTCCCGCTTTCCCTCCCTGCCCCCTCCCTACCTTCCTCTCCCCCAACCCCTCGCCTCCCCCTTTTCTTTCCCCCTCCCAGGCAGTGATTCTAGACCGGTACCCACAGATCCCTCTGGGAGCAGAGGCAGAGAGCGTGGTGATCGACATGGCGACCCCAGCGCTGCGTGTGTGCATCGCTCAGAGGGACGACTGCCCCCCTCAGATGGCCGATATCCTGCAGCATGCTGCTAAGATCCTCCGGGGGATTGCGGCTACCAGAGACAAGTGAGTCAGGGTCTTAGGAGTCAGGGTTTTGTGCATCAAGGTTCTTATTCGACCCAAGCGTCTCTCAGAGGGACGACTGCCCGCCTCAAATGGCTGATATCCTGCAGCATGCTGCTAAGATCCTCCGGGGAATTGCGGCTACCAGAGACAAGTGAGTCAGGGGTCTTGACTAAATGTTTCTTTGGATTTATGAGGCTTTCAGATGGCTTTCCAACGATTGCAGCATATTGCTACAATCCTGAATTTCCACTGGAGACAAGTGCGTTAAGTGTTATTGCAGGGAAAAGTATTTTGCCCGCCCTCTTAATTAATCAGCGTACAGATTTACTCACTGAATGTTGTAATCTCCTCATCCTTCCCTTTCTTCCCATCCCTTCTCCGTTACCTCCCTCCTCCCTCCCTCCCTCCCTCCCTCCCTCCCTCACTCCCTCCCTCCCTCCCTCCCTCCCTTTCTCCCTTCCTCCACAGGGACGCGGACGTATCTCAGCCGTCTATCAACTTCGCCCTAAGCGTGCTGTCCTGTGGAGCACGTGTGAAGTCGGACGGAAGCTTCCCCGACTCCCCTGCCAAGTCCCCTCTCGAACCCGCTCTCTCCTGCGCCCTCTCCATCCTCGAACTCGCCGCCTCCTCCAAGTGAGTGCTGTCTGTTGCTGCCTCGTCCAGGTGAGTCCTGTGTGTCACAAGGCTCGTGCTGCAGACGTATGCAACCACAAGTCAGCGTCTACTACTCCCCTGCTGCCAAGTCCCCTCTCGAGCCTCTCCTGCGCCCCTCTATCCTCGAGCTCGCCGCCTCGTCCAAGTGAGTCCGTGGGTCACAAGGCACGTGCTGCAGGTGTATGCAATGCAACTATGCATTGCAACCACGAGGAAGCTTCCCCGACTCCCCTGCCAAGTCCCCTCTCGATCCTGCCCTCTCCTGCGCCCTCTCCATCCTCGTCGGCGCCGCCTCGTCTAAGTGACTTCTGTCTCTTGCGGCCTCATCCAAGCGAGTCTTGACTTTCAGTCACACATATGCAACTCACAATGCACCTTGTAACCTCCTGTCATCTCCCTCCCACAACCATCACAACTACAAAGAGGGGCGAAAGCAGCTGAGTGATGATGTGCGGGTGACGCCTTTTGAGGCGCCTCACAAAGCAGCTGAGTGATGCTGTGTGCGGTGACGCCTTTTGAGGCGCCTCAAAAGCAGCTGAGTGATGCTGTGCGGTGACGCCTTTTGAGGCGCCTCAAAAGCAGCTGAGTGATGCTGTGCGGTGACGCCTTTTGAGGCGCCTCAAAAGCAGCTGAGTGATGCTGTGCGGTGACGCCTTTTGAGGCGCCTCAAAAGCAGCTGAGTGATGCTGTGCGGTGACGCCTTTTGAGGCGCCTCAAAAGCAGCTGAGTGATGCTGTGCGGTGACGCCTTTTGAGGCGCCTCAAAAACAGCTGAGTGATGCTGTGCGGTGACGCCTTTTGAGGGCCTCAAAAGCAGCTGAGTGATGCTGTGCGGTGACGCCTTTTGAGGCGCCTCAAAAGCAGCTGAGTGATGCTGTGCGGTGGCACAAGGGCTTCTGGTGGGCGGTTTGCTCATCGTGACCTTTGCATCCCCCCAAAACCCCCCATTAACCACCATAACCTCTCATAACCATTACAGGGAGGGTCGCAAGCAGGCGAGGGACGACATGCGGTGGCACAAGGGATTCTGGTGGGCGCTGTGGTTCGCTGCCGGGGAGAGCAGCTGGGGCAGCAACCTCCTTCACTCCGTTTATTCGCACATCCATTTTAACCCCTCTGGACCCCTCACAACCTCTCTTGACCACAGGGAGGGACGAAAGCAGCTGAGGGACGATGTGCGGTGGCGCAAGGGCTTCTGGTGGGCGCTGTGCTCTGCTGCAGGGGAGAGCAGCGCGGATGGGGTGCCCTGCTCGCTGGCCTTTGCTGCTCTCGACTGCCTTAACCACTTCGCTGGGGACCGGGACATGTGCTACCGGCTGATCAACCAGGTGGGGCGAGCATATTTGTGCTTTTGAGTATGCATGTGGTTTTGAGGTGTCTCACAAGTGGATGGCGTGCCGTGCTCTCTGGCCTTTGCGTCTCTGAACTGCCTCAACCACTTCGCTGGTGACTGAGACATGTGCTACTGGTTGATCAACCAGGTGGGGATCGGGTGCATACATGCTTTTGGTGTGTGCCCCTTTGAGGTGTCTGAAAGGCAGTGGGTGCTCGCTGGCCTTTGCTGCTCTTGACTGCCTCAACCACTTCGTTGGGGACCAGGACATGTGCTACTGGCAGATCAACCAGGCGGGTGAAGCATGCGTGTGAGTGAGTATGTATATCCGGTGTATTTGGTGTATTTGGTGTATCCGGTGTATTCGGTGTATTTGGTGTATTTGGTGTATTCGGTGTATTTGGTGTATTTGGTGTATTCGGTGTATTCGGTGTATTCGGTGTATTTGGTGTATTCGGTGTATTTGGTGTATTTGGTGTATTTGGTGTATTTGGTGTATTCGGTGTATTCGGTGTATTCGGTGTATTTGGTGTATTCGGTGTATTCGGTGGATTTGTTTGTGTGTGCGACAACGCCAGTCGTTATTTCTCTCCCTTCCACCCCCCTCCCTTTCTTCCCCCCTCGTCCCGCACCCCTCTTCCAATGAGCAGGCCCTTTATGTGCCCCTCCTGCTGCTCGTGTATTGAGTCGATAATTTAGGTGCCTAAAAAATCCCTCCCCGTCCCTCCCTCGCCTTCCTTCCCCCCTTGGCCTGTGCGCTTCTTCCTATGGCCAGGCCCTTCATCTGCCGCTGCTGCTCCTCGCTGTTCCATCAGAGTCAACCCTCGAGGATGAGCGGCGCCGCAATGAAACAGGTAGGCAGGCCAGTGTGAAACAAGAGAGTCAAGTCATGCAGGTCATGGAGGCGACTCAAAACTCCTCGCCGTTCCATCTGAGTCAACCCTCGAGGATGAGCGGCGTCGCAACGAAACAGGTAGGCCAAGCCATTGCGCCATACCAAGGGTGCATTGGTATGTCAGGGTGAACAGGCCAAGCCATTGCGCCATACCAAGGGTGCATTGGTATGTCAGGGTGAACAGGCCAAGCCATTGCGCCATACCGATTCCAGCTTAAGGCACCTGCAATGTTTCAAATCTTGAGTGCTATTACGTGTGATAATCCTTCCTGCTTCCCACTTTGTCTTGCCCAAGCAGGTCAAGAACCCAACTTCGGAGCGAAAGCATTACAGCAGGTGGCAGCAGAGGTGCTGCGCACGCTCGCAATCACTCTTGAGCAAGCACTCCCGCCTGATGGCGAACCAAGCCCCCGAGGCTCTCTGCTGCACATGCAGCAGTTGGAGCAGCAGCAGTCCTCTGCCCCCTCCCAATTACCTCCTGAGTGTGTCCTCCTTCCCTTCCTGCTGCCCTTCGACATGTTTTCCTTGTCCAAGCAGGTCAAGAGCCCAACTTCAGGGCGAAAGCGCTACAGCAGGTGGCAGCAGAGGTGCTGCGAACGCTCGCAATCACTCTTGAGCAAGCACTCCCGCCTGATGGCGAACCTAGCCCCGAGGCTCTCTGCTGCACATGCAGCAGTTGGAGCAGCAGCAGCAGGAGCAGGAGCAGGGCGGCCTGCTCTCATACGTCATCCCCTGGGGTCTGCTGGATGCTCTCAAGAATCCCGATGCTGGGGCGGCGAAGCTTGTTGCGTTGGTGGGAGCCGACGGCGAGATGCCGACCGCGATTTGGAATGCGGCGGTGAGGGAGGAGCTTAGGGGGAAGGTGGAGGCGCGGATTAAGAGGTTTAACCTGGCGCAGGCTGGAGGAGGGGGAGGAGGAGGAACGGAGGAGGAAGATGAAGTGGCGTGGCTGCGCTCGTTCAGGTGAGAATGGGCGGTATCAGTGGGTACCAGGCGGTACCAGGCGGTATCAGGCAGTGTGAGGTGGTATTATGGGCGTTGATAGGATGTGGAGTGTGAGAGTAGGAGATGCTGCGAACACAACTGTGAGGGAGGAGCTGCGGAGGACGGTGGAGGTGCTGTTTAGGAGGGGCGCTGTTTAGGAGGGGCGCTGTTAGGAGATTCAATCTGGTGCGGGCGGGGGATGCTGGAGAAATGGGGGGAGGAGCGGAGGAGGAAGACGAGGTGGCGCCTCAAAAGTTCACCTTCTCATCTGATCCCCCTCTTACTCTTATCTCCCTTGTTTCCATTGTCTCCTCCCTCTTCTTCCCCAGACTCTTTCGTTTCTCTCGTTGCGGCTCTCGTTCTTTCTTTCCCATCTCCTTTGCTTTTCTCGTTCCTTACTGCTCTCCTCGCTATTCTCGTGTTTGTCAGGTACGACTGCCTCAAGGACGAAATGGTTATTTCAGGCATCTTCGTCCGGGGGTACGCTGCGGGCAGCTGGGAAAACTTCGACCTGCCCGACGGCCGTGCGTTTCTCATGGCTCTTCAGGACTATCTCCGCTCCTCTCTCCCCATCATCTCCTCCCAATCCTCCTCTTCCTCCACCCTCATCACTCCTCCATCTCCTAGTAGCATCGTCACCACCTCAGCAGCTGCCTTTGCCTCACAGCCTCCCACTGTCGCCGGGTTTCTGATGGTACTTAAAGCCCTGGCGGAGTGCATTAGGTATGCGGTAGAGGACGGTAAGAGGGGCATGCTGGCTCACATAGACTATCTCCTCCTTGCGGAGATTTTGGCGGCTGCCCCGGATACACTTCCAACTGCCCGGCGGCTGGTCGTGGGCATCGCGCAGATTGTTTCAGGTGCCCCTACGAGCCGAGAGCAGCTGCTGGGGTCGTCTTTGCTGCCCGTTTTGGCACGGCAGCTATGGAGATCGATCACCATACCAGGAACGGGAGTGGAAGAGGGTTGGTGGCACCAGAAGGGGAGGAGGATTTCGGGGCGGGGTTGAGTGAACTGGCACTGGCGATTCTCGACGCGGTTTTGGATCTAAGTGTGGAAATGGCAGCAGTTGTGGCAGTTACCAATCATTTCAGTTCCAGCAGCCTGCTTCTCGTGCTGCTCGCGCTCTTCCTCCGGGTTCCCCTGCCCCCGTTTAAGGGCACTTCGAAAAAAGCTGCTGGGCAGGCGTGGAGCGAGGCGGAAGAGGCAGGAGTGCTGGACACGGCGCAGTTTCGAGCTGCCCAGATTCTCGGGCAGCTGCTGCTGGCGGCCTGTGGAGTGCAGGATCGGGCGAAATTTATCGCCGGGATTGAGGAGGAGGGGATAGGGTCAGCAACAGCATTAGGTGATGGCACGAACGGGATTGATAACCTATCAGTGGATGAGGAGGTGTTTTCCGACCCTCACGGGGACGTTCGGGATATCCACAACCTGATTTCGCTCCTGGAGCCAGGCGCGGCGCCGGCCGTGCCTCTCATCTCGGTTCGGGTGCTGTACCTGCTGCTGCCGATGCGCATCCTCTCGCTCCTCATGTCCGATCCGGAAGGAGCGTGCCGAGCCATCGGATCTCCCAGTTGCACGCCGCTGCTTGTGTGGAATGACGCTTCGGCGAGAAGAGCGAGAGATGCAATCAAGAGGGAAGCAGAGGAGGTGCTAAGGAGGCATGAGGGGGAGGTGAGTGAGGGGAAGCAGCAGCTAGGGCTGCCTATGTGGGATCTGGAGGCAGGGAAGGAGCCGGACGGCGGCAGTGTGGGGCGAGGCGGGGAGGAAGCAGCGGCGTTCCGCCCCTTCTTCCTGCAGTACGTGCGCGAGAGCATCGAGTTGGCAAAGGATGAAGGAGAGGGAGCAGCAGGAGGAGCAGAGGCTGCGGAAACGTTGTTTTCAGAGCAGGAAAAGGCGGGGTACGTTCCGGAGATGTACATTGGTGGGTGTTACGTGGACCAGTTGTTGCGGCAGCCGAGATTTGATCTCGGGAAGCGAGTGGAGCTGCAACTGGTGAGGGAGATTCGCAAGGCTATAGTCACTGCTGCGCCAAATGAAGGCAAGAGATATGAGGAGTTCACCACTGCGGATCGTAGAAGGCTGCTTTTGGCCCTGCTCGCGCTTTTCCAGAGCCGCCCGCACCTGCTGACCATCACCAACACGGACATCTTCCTGCCCGTGACGGACTTTTTCACGTCGGGCAGCGGCGAAGAGCGGCGCGCGCTGCTGCAGGCCGGCGTGTTACTGTTCCTGCGCATGGTTACTTCGAATGACGTGGCGGATTTCGTCTCTTCTGAAGAGCTCATCTCGCTTCTGTCGAAGCTGCTGTTGCTGGAGGTACCGGCAGGGAGACAGGGGCAAGCTGCTACGGATCCGAGGGTGTGTGCTCTGATGCTCATGCAGAAATTGTTCAGACTTTCCTCAAAGGCTGTTGAGTTGGGGTTGCAGCATCAGGTTGTGGATCGTCTGGCATCGCTCGTACTCGATACAGAGAACTCCATTATCGTGCGTGCGCGAGCTGCTGCTGTGCTGGGAGCTATGGCTGGGGAGAGAAGGCTGGGGCCGGAGATTACAAGGCAGGCAGAGAGGATTTTGCCGGAGAGTTACAAGAATCATATCGCTTGGAAGGGGGTTTTTGAAGCAAGGGGCAGAAGAGATCGGGCAGAAAAGCGTGCCGGCACTTTCAGAGGAGATTGAGGTGAAAACCATGCGGCACTTACTTAAGTACCCGCTGCCGTGTGCATGGTGGACAACAGATATTCCCGAGGATGGCGGGATGGACGGAGGAGGAGGGGATGGGGGTGGTGGGGAAGGGGAGGATGGGAACGGCGGTCCCACAGCTGTTGTGGAAGCTGCCTTGATGTTTCCTGCTGCCAGGCTGGACGCATGGAACGATGAGGTGGACGGGGCTCTAAGGCACGGGCTGGCTGCTGCTGCTCTCACCAACACACGGAATGTGAGGATTCTGAGGAAGAAACTTGCTGGGGCGAAGGGGGTGCTGGTGGAGGTGGAACTGCAGTTCCAACCTCCCCCAGGTGCTGCCGCGAGAGCCAAGAAGGGCGAGACTGCAAGGACGTCAGTGGATGATCCGGCGAAGGCCGCCCGGACGTTCAAGCAGAGGTTGGAGACGCAGCTGGGGGGTATGCTCGCCCCAGAGGTGTTTGAGTCGATGGGTAACCCGGCTGTCCGCTCCTCGACGGTTAGAAGCTGGGGGCGGTGATCAGGTGGTTATGCTGATCGTGAAACATCTCGGAATCTGTCTGCCCATGGGTGTTCCTCTACGGTTAGAAGCTGGGGGCGATGAATTGCTTGCTGGTCATGCTGATTGTGAGACATCTTGGTATTCGTGTGCTCATGGGATGGGTTCCCAGGCTGTTCTTTCTTCGACGGTTAGAAGCTGGGGGCAATGATATAGTGGCGGTGATGGTGTTGTTGGTGCAGTTGCAACAAGGTGGTTTATGGGGGTTTACTGAGATGTAACTGGGGGTTATGCTAGTGTTCGTGGTGGTTTAACCTGTGCGAAGGATACTGTGACTCTGGAGCAGCTAACAACTGGTTGAGTCTGGGAGAATCAGGCGAGAAGGCCTTTTGCAGAGGTGGTGAGCTTGCAATTGCCACCAATTTAGTATTCCATAACCAGCTACTGTGTGTTTTCAGTGTTTCATTCAAACAAGCACTTAATAGTGGAGTCTAGTGGTGGCTAGCGGTGTACAGACGATCCATTTGTTCAAGTGCTTCGCAAAAATGCATAGGGGATCGGTAATGAACTGGGCACAACGATCCTTGTGCACTTCGCTAATTGGTCGACCCACTTTCTTTGAGATCTTCTGGTCTCAAAACGTAATCATGACGTGTCACTGACAATAATCGATCGACACTGTCGTCCTGCCTGCCTCGATATTGGTTGCACAATAACCAAATTCAGGTGAAATTCTAAAGACGTGTTGGCAGGCCTGGCCACATTATTAGTCACCTAAGTTCATTCTCTACGAAGAGCCCCGAAGTAGCGAACACGCAGGCGAACTCTCTGACGAAATTTTGTAACACGCATGGCGACAGCCGCTTCAGCTTCGGTTTCGTTGGCGTCGAGCGCCGGAATCGGCGCATCGCGGCCTCTCAGAGCCCTAGCCCCCGCCAGCAATTTCTCCATTACTAGCACACCCATTGCTAGCACGTCCTGCCTCGTGTCGCTCGCTCGGCCAGACGCACTCAATTCCTGCGGCCGCGTAGCGGTTCAATCAGCGGGACTGCGGTTAGGTAGTCAAGCGTTGCCGAATGGTCGGCTGCGCGGAGCAGGTGTTAGCGTTCGAGCGGCGGCCGATGCGGCTGCGAGTGCTTCCGCGACGGACTCGCGGGCTTCAGAGCTGGTCGATAAACTGCTGTCATGGTCAGCTTTTGTGTTTTCCTTTGGTAATAAGCCGTAAAACAGAGTGTTGACGCTATTCGAGAAACCATGCTTTGCTTTGTCTACCCAAGGGTTAAGGACGCGGTTAGAGGGGTAGCAATGAGCGATGAGAGAAGGGAGGCAGGGCAGGGCAGGGTAGGAAGGGAAGCGAAGGAAAAGGCAGGGCGAGTCAGGGCAGGGAGATAAGAATGCATGCTGTACTGTTTCCAGCCGGCAGGTGAAGGACTCGGACAGAGGGGCGGCGATGAGCGATGAGGGCCGGGAAGGGGATGGCAGGGTAGAACAGGGCGGAGCAGGGCAGAGCAGGGTGGGGCAGGGCGATGAGACCTCAGTTTGTACTTTTTTTTTCCCCCTGCAGGTGAAAGACACTGACAGAGGGGCGGCGATGAGCGACGAGGGCAGGGCGGTAGTGACGGGGCAGGGCAGGAAGATGAAATGCGTTGCGTGCTTTATTTCTCCCCCCTGCCAGGTGAAGGACTCGGACCGAGGGGCGGCGATGAGCGACGAGGGCCGGGCGGCAGTGACGGCGATAGTGGAGCAGCTGGAAGCAATGGGGCTGGAAGAGCCGCTCAAGAGTCCCTTAGTGTTTGGAGGTACGTACATGTTGAGAGAGGGACAGTACAGGCCGTAGGGTTTGTACGGGAACCGGTGAAAAGGGTGTGGTAGTGGAGCAGCTGGAAGCAATGGGGCTGGAAGAGCCGCTTAAGAGCCCGCTGGTGTTCGGAGGTAAGCAGACGTTAATAGCAAGGGATTGTAAGGTCGAGTGTAAAGGGCATGAGAGAGGAGCAGCTGGAAGCAATGGGGCTGGGGGAGCCGCTCAAGAGCCCGCTGGTGTTGGGAGGTAAGCGTGCTTGCATACGGCAATGGGGCATGTCGCAAAGGGCTGTACTGGAGTCAAAGGAAGGGCACGAGAGTGGAGCGGCTGGAGGCCGTGCGGCTGGGGGAGCCGCTCAAGAGCCCGCTGGTGTTCGGAGGTAAGCCAGCGCTTAGGCCAAGGGACAGCAGGGACCGCGGGGACCCTAGGGATTATAGAGACAGCAGGGACCGCAGGGACCCTAGGGACCATAGGGACCGTAGGGACCGTAGGGACCCTAGGGATTGTAGAGACCGCAGGGACCGCAGGGACCCTAGGGACCGGGACCGTAGGGACCGTAGGGACCCTAGGGATTGTAGAGACCGCAGGGACCGCGGGGACCCTAGGGATTGTAGAGACAGCAGGGACCGCGGGGACCCTAGGGACCGCAGGGGAATGAGTGACGGGTGTGGCAGTGGAGTAGCTGGTGGCTGTGGGGCTGGAGGAGCCGCTCTAGAGCCGCCTGGTATTTGGAGGTAAGCCGGCGCTTAGAGCAAGGGACTGCAGGGAGTGTAGGGAGAGTAGAGGAATGGGTGAAAAGGGCGCGGCAGTGGAGCAGCAATGCAAGGACATGGGAGTGCTGGCGGCTGTGGGGCTGGAGGAGCCGCTCAAGATTCCCCTGGCGTTCGGTGGTAAGCGGGCATGCATAGAGCAGCGGAGCATTCAGCAGTGGACGGGGCGGTGTGCCGGTCAAGAGTTTGCCGGTGTTTGATTGTGGCTGGGCATTTAAAGGGGATATGGGATCAAAGTCAGGGCCACAAAGAACAGACCGCTTGACCTTCACTTGATGTGCGTGTGCCATGCTGTCGGGGAGGGCTGGCCTTTGTCCTCTCCTGTCAAAGCACATCCATCATGGAGTCCCGTTTGAGAATTCTCAGGCGTGAAATGCTGCTGCTTGGGAACGACTTTGAGACGTCTCAAAACATGCTGCTTGGGACGACTTAACTCTCTCCTCCTGCTGCTGTAAAAAAAGGTACATTCATCATGCCCTCTCTGACCTGTTCATCGCTACCCCCTTGTGTGACTAAAAGCGAGAATGACTGCATGCACGTGCGTGTGCATGTGTGGGCTACTACCGCAGCATGCTGGGATGCACGCTGCTGCGATCCAACCACCACCTGCAGACTCATTAACCAACCCACCGCCCCTTACTCTCCCTCTGATTTGTATGCACCTGTCTATCTCTACCTGCACGCCTTTTGAGGCGCCTCAAAAGTCCTCTGACTTGCATGCACCTGTCTATCTGAGGTGACTTTTGAGTCGACTCAAAGTCACCTCAAAAGTCCCTGACTTGCATGCACCGTCTATCTGAGGTGACTTTGAGTCGACTCAAGAGGCGCCTCAAAAGTCCCTGACTTGTATGCACCTGTCTATCTCTACCTGCACGCCAGCATGGGAGGTGGCGTACACGTGGCGCCCCACAGCAGCAGGCGGGTACTATCGCAGCATGCTGGGGCGCACATTGCTGCGATCCAACCACCACCTCCACACGGCTTCCTTGACCCACCCACCACCCCTTATTCCCTCTGTGCCTCTATCTATCTCTGTGCCCCCTCACAACAGCATGGGAGGTGGCATACACATCTAGACCCACAGCAGCGGGCGGGTACTACCGCAGCATGCTGGGGCGCACACTGCTGCGATCCAAGGACCTGGTGCAGACCATCTACCCGCCCAACGGGGTGGATAACCTCGTGGAATTCGACGCGCTCTCCCTGATCCCCGGCAGCATCAGCCTTAAAGGTGGGATGCAGTTGGGTTGGGTGCGGTGCTGTGCCAGGTAGATGTCTCAAGGTAACCACCTGCTGCGATCCAAGGACCTGATGCAGACCATCTACCCGCCCAACGGGGTGGATAACCTCGTGGAGTTTGACGCTCTCTCCCTGATCCCTGGCAGCATCAGCCTCAAGGGTGGGTCGTGAAGTAGCACCAAATTTCGGGGTGGGAGGGAGGGGAGGGGAGAGAAGAAGGGAGGGGTAGATGGGAGATCTAGGCGCTGGTTATGGTGTCAGGTATGGTAGATGCGTGTCAATAACCCCCTGCTGCACTCCAAGGACCTACAGCAGATCATCGGTGTGTGTCAGGTATATGTGCGATGCAGTTCGGTTGGGTGCGGTGTCACTAACCACCTGCTGCTGCGATCCAAGGACCTGATGCAGACCATCTACCCGCCCAACGGAATCGATAACCTCGTGGAGTTTGACGCGCTCTCCCTGATCCCCGGCAGCATCAGCCTCAAAGGTGGGGTATGTATGTTAGCAGTATCATATTTTATGGTGGGAGGGGAAGGAAGGGGAGGCTTTGACATGGAATAATTGATCAGGTAATGACACAACCTAACACACCCGTTCCTACCTCCCCCTACCCCCACCTTCTCATTCCCCCACCTCATTCCTGCCATTCTCCCCTCCACAAACCTCCCATCAGGCATGTTCTAGCCGCTGGGCAACAAGTGGGTGCGAGCTCTGTTTGAGGCGCCAAGGCTAGGGTGACTTTCAAGTCCACTTCTTCCCGCCTTACCTTCCCCCTTCCCCGTCTTCCCCTCTCCCCACTCTTGCGTCCTCCCACCAGGCACGTTTGAGCCGCTGGACAGCAAGTGGATGCGGGCGGTGTTTGAGGCACCCTACCTAGGACTCAACTTCTTCCTGCCTCGCCTTCCCCATTCCCCACCTTCCCCCTTCCCCACTCTTGCTTCCTCCCTTCAGGCACTTTTGAGCCGCTGGACAACAAGTGGGTGCGGGCGGTGTTTGAGGCGCCCAACCTCGCTCTGGGCGCGCTCAAGTTCTCCTACGGAGGGCAATCGTCCGTGCGCCTGTCTGTGTCGTACCTCGATGAGCGGGTGCGCATTGGCCGGGGATCCCAAGGCTCCATTTTTGTGTTTGCACGCCGCACGTAATTAGAGTAATAGAAATAGAGTGCGCTGCCTGATACTTGTACAGAGGGCAGTCGTTTGTGCGCCTCTCCGTGTCGTATCTCGATGAGCGTGTTCGCAGTGGCCGAGGATCCCAAGGCTCCATCTTTGTGTTCGCACGCCGCACGTAATTAGAGTAATAATATGCCGTAGCAAGCAGTGTGCTGCCTAATACTTGTACGGAGGGCAGTCGTCTGTGTGTGCCTCTCCGTGTCGTACGTCGATGAGCGCGGGCGCATCGGCCGAGGATCCCACGGCTCCGTCTTCGTGTTTGCACGCCGCACGCAACACTGACTCAGCCTCCATAATCATACAAATATGCATGACATTCTAGGTAGTGTTCATTGATACTGTGTATTTTGAGGCATTTGATTGCCGGGGGGTTTCTGTGTGGTGCAGATATCCCATCACATGGTTTACCGTGCAATCACGAGTTTCTGTTACCGTATGTTTTTGTTTGTTTGTTTGTTTTGTTTTTAGTTAGTTAGTTTGTTTTTTTTTGGCTGGAATACGGTAAATAATGGTACCAGTAGTAATTCATAGTTCAGCCGCGTAGCACTTGGACCACCGGACCTGAGCTTACCGGTTGGTTTGATTTGTACTTGAGCTACCCCCCTAAAAGGGGGGTTACAACTTACAATACCTCAACATATGAGCGCAGAGTTGGAGCTTTTCTAACACAAATGTGCGAGTTGTTGCTTCTTATCACATCACAGCACATCAGTACAGGGATACCGTACCGTAGTATCTTTACCATCCACTTTTACCCACCACGCATGCTCCACAAGGAACCTACTCCTACAAACCATCTCTAATCTAGTCTAGACCATATCTACTCCGCAGCCCGCTTCCTACCTCGTTTCTGCCCTACCCTTCCTTGCATACCATCATCATCACTAGGAAGTACCACCTCCAAGGTGCTTTTACCCTTCACCTTGCCCTTCCTGTTTTGAGACATTTCGGAAACATCATCATCGCCAGAAAGCACAACCTCTAACGTGTTTTTTCCCTTACCTTTGCTTTTCTTCTTACGTTTCCCTCCCCTCTCCTCCTCATCCCCTCCACTGGCCATATCAGCCCACTCATTTGCACCATCCCCATCCACCACTCCCTCTCCTGCTACCCCTGCTGCATCAACCCCCTCCTCTGCTCCTCCTGCTCTTTTCTTCCCTCTCCGTTTCACTGCCACCCTCCTAGCTCCCTTGGTTGCTTGACTCAACGGAAGAAGCTCCTGCTTCCCCTTCCCCTCACTTTCCCCCTCCTTCTGCTCCTTTTCGTAGCATTTCCCCCTTTCTGCGCCCCCGCGACTTACCTCCCTTCTCTTCCACACCTTTCCCGCTTTCCTCCACCATCTTTTCACCCATCGCCTCTCCGTCCACCCCTACACCCCCCCCACTCCCTCCTCCCTTCTCCTTCCGTTTTGCAGCTCTAGCAGCTGCCTCCTCCTCTTCATACTTCTTCCTCCAAAACTCCCACCTCTCCTCCATCTTATGATTCGCCTTCCTAATTTCCTTTCTCTCCTTCCTCCCAGCCTTCTTCACCTCCTCCTTCTTCTCCTTCTCCTTCCTCTCCACCTTCTTATACTCCAGAATCCACTGCCACGCCTCCACAGCCGCGTTCCACTCGGCAACTTTCTTCGTAGAAGCAGGCTCGCCGACAAAATCAATCCCTGCCGCAGCCCCGCCAAGCCGCATCGTGCATTGATACACCTTCTCCTTTTTCGTCCCGATCTGATCCGTGTAGTACCGAGGTTTGCCCAGGAAATGGATCTTGCAGTTGTTGTGAACGTACGACTTGAAATCCTTCCCCACTTCCAGTTTCATGTCCACTGCTTTCGCCCGCACGGGTTTGGCTGGCTTGGGAGGGGCGAGCTTTGGCTGCAGGCCGATGGTGAAGGTGCCTTGTGACTGCTCGCACTGCAGCAGGTCAGAAACAGCTCCCAGAATAGCTTCATCTTCTGGCGTTAAGGGGAGGCGAGGGTTCTCCAGCTGCGTTGGGGTGGTGAAAAGGGAAAAGCGAAGAAAGAAAAAGCACGACTGATGATTTGGCTGGAGGCCGATGGTGAAGGTGCCTTGTGACTGCTCGCACTGGGGAAGGTCCGAGACGGCTCCCAGAATGGCCTCGTCTTCTGCTGTTAAGGGAAGGCGAGGGTTCCCCAGCTGTGTTGGGGTGGACAAAAGGAAAAAGAGGAGAAAATAATCAGACGAGTGATTAGTTATCAGGAGGTAAACAGATAGTAAAGGTGCCGTGTGGCTGCTTGCAGTGCAGAAGGAAGGGAACAGCTCCAAGAATGGCCTTGTCTTCTGGTGTGAAGGGAAGGCGAGGGTTAACCAGCTCAGCTGCGGGGTGGTGACACGGGAAAAGAAAGAGAATTGCACCCGAACTATTTCTGGCATGAGGGCTGTGGTGAAGGTGCTGCGTGACTGCTCGCACTCCACAAGGCCCAAGATGGCTCCCAGAATGGCCACTCCTCTAGCTGGGAGAACAGAACAGAGCGACGGCATGAAGAACTCAAAGTAAGTCCCAGCATGGTCTCTACTGGTCCAGCATGTGCAGGTGTTCGGGGTCAGTCAGTCAGTCTGATTCAAGGCGCCAAAAGAACACACACCACCTCCTACTAGCACCCTAAAGCACATCTCACCACCTTGCACCACCTATCAGCACCCACCACCAGCCCTGCTTCTCACCTTGCGTTGAATCAGCGCGTCAAGTTCAGACCGCAAGGCGAGCACGGAGCGGGCGGCGGCGGGCGGCATGAAGAACTCAAAGTAGCCATCCAGCATGTGAAGATACCCAGGGTCGGTGGTGGGGGTGAGCGGCCCTCCAAACAGCAACAGTCCCGCATCAGAGACACCAGTAGAATCGCGGATAAAGACTGAAGTTGTCTTGATCTGGTCATGTGCGGGCAGAAGGGATGATTGCAGTGTTGGTTTTTGGGTTCACTTCACGGGTGAAAGAGAATACACCCGTGAGCGGCCCTCCCAACAGTTTTTGGGTTCACTTCACGGGTTCACTTCACGGGTTCACTTCACGGGTTCACTTCACGGGTGAAAGAGAATACACGGGTCATGGGATGAGCGGCCTCGAACAGCAGCAGCCCCGCATCGGACACACCGGTAGAATCGCGGATAAAGACGAATTCGTCTTGATCTGTGTGTGTGGGAGCATGGGGATGAGGTGGGGTACAGAGGGTGAAGATGAGAGGGTTACACACCACGATGTAAGGCCATTACACACCACGACGTAAGGCCATAACACACCACGACGTAAGGCTAACACACACGACGTAAGGCCATATCACACCACGACGTAAGGCCATAACACACCACGACGTAAGGCCATATCACACACGACGTAAGGCCATATCACACCACGATGTAAGGCCATTACACACCACGACGTAAGGCCATATCACACCACGACGTAAGGCCATATCACACCACGACGTAAGGCCATATCACACCACGACGTAAGGCCATATCACACCACGACGTAAGGCCATATCACACCACGACGTAAGGCCATATCACACCACGACGTAAGGCCATGTCACACCACGACGTAAGGCCATATCACACCACGATGTAAGGCCATAACACACCATGACGTAAGGCCATATCACACCACCACGTAAGGCCATATCACACCACGACGTAAGGCCATATCACACCACGACATAAGGCCATATCACACCACCCCATGCCATGGCACAACACTTTGTTGTTGAAGACCCACGGAATGGGTCCAGGATGCGAGTGAGACGAGCATGTCTATTTTTTCGTCGACTCACAACTTGTTTTTAGAGTCTATTTTTGAGTCGATTCAAACCCCCAGATTTTGATTATGTTTTAAAGTCGACTCAACGATAGGAATGGGTATGGGTTGTGAGCGAGACGAGCATGATTCGTGGTCAGGCGTATCCGACCCCGGCTGTGGCGTGAGGCCACATCACACCACGGCATCCCATGCCACACCATGTCATGCCACACCAAGCCGTGCAACACCATCCCATGCCACACCATCCCATGTCACACCATCCCATGCCACACCATCCCATGCCACACCATCCCATGCCACACCATCCCATGCCACACCATCCCATGCCACACCACGGCATCCCATGCCACACCATCCCATGCCACACCATCCCATGCCACACCATCCCATGCCACACCATCCCATGCACACCATCCCATGCCACACCATCCCATGCCACACCATCCCATGCCACACCATTCCATGCCACACCACGCCACACCACGCCACACTATGCCATGCCATGCCATGCCATGCCATGGCAATCCGCATTACCAGGCAGGGGTAGGGCAAGCAATCGAGACCAGCACATTCCATGGAAAGCAAAAATCACATCACACCCCTGTCCATGGCATAAGGGCGCACCATGCCATGAAATGCCATGCCACAGCACCCCATGGCATGCCACAGCACCCCATGGCATGCCACAGCACCCCATGGCATGGCACAGCACCTTCTCGTTGAAGACCAGCCAGGGGTAGGGGAAACGCGTGAGACCAGCATTGACCGAGGACTGCCAGGGAGGGGGGATAAGGGTGATGGGGATGGCGGATGAGGGATAGGGGGTGGTGGGGAATGGGGGATGAGGACCAATGGGAGCGGGTGATTGCCGAGAAACTAGGAGGAGTAACGACTTAATATTCTTCCTACATGTGCGGCATACATGAACACGTGGTGCATGTTGAGCTCTTTACCTGGAAAATGATGCATGTTCTACACCACATCTCATCACATGTCTCACCACACATCTCATCACACATTGCACCAGAGATCTCATCTCACTACATACGTAAGCACTGGTGGATGTTCACCTCCCCATCCTCCTCCGTCTTGTACGTTGTGCTGCTCCAACAACCTCCCCTTCCCCTCCTTCCCCTTCGTTGTCCCCCCTCTTCTCCATCACCACATTAATACGCACCTGGTGGATGTTCACCTCCCCATCCTCCTCGTCTTGTACGTTATTGTGCTGCTCACAACACCTCCCCTTCCCCTCCTTCCCCCTTCGTTGTCCCCCCCTTTCTCCATTCACCACATTAATACGCACCTGGTGGATGTTCACCTCCCCATCCTCCTCCGTCTTGTACGTTGTGCTGCTCACAACACCTCCCCTTCCCTCCTTCCCCCTTCGTTGTCCCCCCCTCTTCTCCATTCACCACATTAATACGCACCTGGTGGATGTTCACCTCCCCATCCTCCTCCGTCTTGTACGTTGTGCTGCTCACAACACCTCCCCTTCCCCTCCTTCCCCCTTCGTTGTCCCCCCCTCTTCTCCATTCACCACATTAATACGCACCTGGTGGATGTTCACCTCCCCATCCTCCTCCGTCTTGTACGTTGTGCTGCGCGTCCGTTTCTGGATGTGACCAGCAGACGGGGAGGTGAAGGGAGGTGAAGGGTGAAGAGGGTTGAAGATATATGGGGTGGTGGGTGCCCGGTTGGGGAACGAATGCAGTCAAATGAGTGAACAGTGATGCAGGGAACTAGATACTTGTCGAGAAGTCAACCGAGACAAAGAGAGCTACGAGCGGAACAATCCTGTGAGCTACGATGACTTTCATCATCCATGCATGTGATGCAATCCTGCCAAGCACAAGAATGCCATTGCGTATGCATGCATGCATGCATTCATGCAAGCAGCTGTCTGTTTCTCGCACACAGCCACCCAGGAATGCACTCTCTCTCTTCCCCTCTCACCACTGCCGATGCCAGTCCAGCCAGCTGCGCCGCTCGAACGAACTCGGGGTCGTTGCTCCTGCTGTTGGCCTCACTCATACTGCGCACATGCAAAGCCCCCACACACACTCACACACACTCACCACAGCGGAAGCCACTCCGGGGAACAGACCAGCCAGCAGCGCCGCTCGCACGAACTCGGGGTCGTTGCTCCTGCTGTTGGCCTCATCCATGCCTTGCTGCACGTCCACCAATCCCAGCTCGCCAAGTGTCCCCAGCAGCTGCCGCCTCAGCCCTGCTATTGCCTGGCGGACAGGCAGGGCAGCAGATGGTACAGTCGGAAAATAATACGATTTGGTTACCATCTCGAGACAGTTGGCAGGGCCCAGTACAGATTGGAAAGAGATAATTTGGCCAGAAATTGGAGAAGAGAGTGTGACTGACGAGTATGAAGAAGTGTTTTGAGACGTCTCAAAACACTACTTTATACAGAAATTGGAGAAGAAAGGGCGACTGACAAGGAAAAGAAAGGATGGGGACAAGACAACACAAGTTAACTGACAAGAAGAAATAAGCTACAACGAGAAATGAGAATCTAGGAAAAAATTGTGCTTATAACCAGCAAGAATTATAATTTACGGCCGCAGAATTTACAGGTTTGAGACGTCTCACAGCCAAGTACAGTACACACACCAAAATTGCTGCCGACCTTATGCGCTGTGAAAGTGCGTGTGAACCTTAGAATTCAGAACGCGAAAGAAGAGAAAGAAAGTTAAAACAGAGTCAGGATGTATCCATAACACCACCACGTGCCTGCATGGTGGGGTGCGATAGGAAGTGGTCGTAGCAGTACGCCCTGGCAGCGCTGTATCCATCGCTGCGGCTGGTTGCTGATCCCAGAGCCGTCACCCACCCCTCGAACGCCCTCACTGCCGCGAAGTGGTCGCTGCAGTCGTCCCCTGCAAAGCGCAGGCGCACTGAATCAGCCACCTGATTCAAAGGGTAAGAGAGAAATGAATTGGGGAAGAATGGATTGAAGATGGTGGGTAAATGAATGGATGGATGGATGGACGGTCGGACGGACGGACAGACGGACGGACGGGACGGACGGGTGGATGGATGGATGGATGGATGGATGGATGGATGGATGGATCATGAGATACCCCTGAAGCAGCGGCGAAGTTCACCTCTCCCAATGCCCAGCGAGCAAGGGGTTGATCATCACATGACAAAGATACCCAAATCTTGCTTTGAGTTGACTCACAACATCTTGCGTTGGTGGTTGTTACTGAGTTGACAAATGAATCGGAGAGCAAGATTATGGAGCTATATCCCGCTGACAAAATAACTAAGTTCTTCAAGCTCTTCAAGCTATCCTGCTTATCTCCTTGATGATGCTACGGTTGTACCACATATGTGCACGCTTACAAAGATGTTATCACACCATAATCTATGCCCAAGGTCTTCATTTAAATGCCAAAGAGCGTGACATTCCTTTGGAACCGTTGGAGCCGCTGAACTGAGCTTAGGTGTCATAGCAATTTTCCTCATTCGGCTTTTAGCTGTCCAAAGCACATTCTGTTCAAGACGGATTTTCCTCCTTGCTCAAAGTCTACAAGGCTGTCTTGAACAGAATGTGCTTTGGACAGCTCAAAGCCGAATGAGGAAAATTGCTATGACGCCTAAGCTCAGTCCAGCGGCTCCAACGGTTCCAGAGGAATGTCACACTCTTTGGCATTCAAATGAAGAACTTGGGTATAGATTATGGTGTAATAATATCTTTGTAAGCGTGCACACATGTGGTACAACCATAGAATCATCAAGGAGATAAACAGGATAGCTTGAAGAGCTTGAAGAACTTAGTTATTTTGTCGGCGGGATATAGCTCCATAATCTTGCTCTCCGATTCATTTGTCAACTCAGTACCCAATCGTGAGCGTTTTGGAATTCTCAAAAGTGGCCAAATGTTTGGTTGCTGACTGTTACACCACAATATATCTGCCACGACTCCCTCTCCCTCTCCCTGCTCACCTCTCCCTTATCCGCCAACCACACCCACGGCTCTCGCTCACTGCGAGTGGCCATCCCGGCGAGCACATGGGATCACGAACAACAGCACTGCTGTGAAGGGAGAGGGTTGACACATAGCAGCAGCGTTACCATCACTCACTCCTTCACCTTCCTGCCTCATTCGCACTCACATCCCTGCTCACCTCTCTCTTATCCGCCGGTCGCACCCATGGCTCTCTCTCACTAAGGGTAGCAGCCGCAGTAAGCACAGTGCTCACACACACGACAGCACTGCTGCCATCACCCCTTCACTTCCCCCTTCATATTCCTGCCTCATTCTCACCTCTTTCTTATCTGCTGGTCGCACCCACAGCTCTCTCTCACTAAGGGTAGCAGCTACAGTGAGCACAGGGTTCACACATGCCAGCACCGCCGCCATCACACCCCTTCATCTCCCCCTCATTTTCTTGTCACATCCCTTTTCACATACCCCTCCGCACCTCTCTCTTATCAGCCGGTCGCACCCACGGTTCTCTCTCGCTAAGGGTAGCCGCCACAGTGAGCACCGGGTTCACACATGCTAGCACCGCCGCGACCCTCCTCCTTCATCTGCGTGCCCCAATCTTACCTCTCTCTTATCTGCTGGTCGCACCCACGGCTCTCTCTCGCTGAAGGTAGCCACCACAGTGAGCACCGGGTTCACACATGCTAGCACCGCCGCGACCCTCCTCCTTCATCTGCGTGCCCCAATCTTACCTCTCTCTTATCTGCTGGTCGCACCCACGGCTCTCTCGCGCTGAAGGTAGCCACCACAGTGAGCACCGGGTTCACACACGCAAGAAGCCAAGTCACCCAGTGACCTACTTACCTCTCTCTTATCTGCCGGTCGCACCCACAGCTCTCTCTCACTAAGGGTAGCAGCTACAGTGAGCACAGGGTTCACACACGACAGCACCGCCGCCATCACTCCCTCCTCTCCCCCTCATCTGCGTGCCTCATTCTCACCTCTCGCTTATCAGCTGGTCGCACCCACGGCTCTCTCTCACTGAGAGTGGCTCCTACAGTGAGCACAGGGTTGACACATGAGAGCACCGCCGCCATCACCAGCATCTTCCCCACCCGTGGCTCCAGGGGCAGTGCTGTGAGGTGCCGACCTGGCGAAGGGGGAGAGAAAGGCAGGTTGGGTTGGGAGAGACGCGAGTTGTAGGGAGGAGAGGGAAGTAGAGGAGAGGAGAGGAGAGGAGAAGGAGAGGAGGGAGAGGGAGAGGAGAGGAGAGGAGGGAGGAGAGGAGAGGAGAGGAATGGAGAGGAGAGGAGAGAGGAAAGGAGAGGAGAGGAGAGGAGAGGAATGGAGAGGAGAGAGAGAGGAGGAAAGGAGAGGAGGGAGAGGGGAGGAAAACGAGATAAGAGCAACAAGAGAAGTGGGAGAGGAGAGGAGAGGAGACGAGAGGAGCGAAAAGGAGAGGAGAGGAGAGGAGAGGAGAGGAGAGGAGTAGAGGAGAGGAGAGGTGAGGTGAGGTGAGGAGAGGAGAGATGATAAGAGAGGAGAGGAGAGGAGAGAGGAGAGGAGAGGAGGAGGAGAGGAGAGGAGAGGAGAGGAAAGGTGAGGAAAGGAGAAGATACATGGCATGATGGGATGGGGGTAGCACATTGAGTTGGCCTGGGAGAAAGGTGCGGATGGAGAGGCACACACGCACGCATGAGGGACATGTTCATGCGATGCGTACCCAGTGGTGTGAGGCTTTCATCCTTGCCCATGTGTGTGGTGGCATGTGAGAATGTGCATCTGCGCATGCCACACGCATGGGGTGGGGTGTATCATGTATGGCCACGCCACGCCATGCCATGCTATGCCATGCGATGCGTACCAAGCGGTGTGAGGTTCTCATCCTTGTCCATGTGTGTGGCATGTCAGAGCCAGGCGGTGGCCATACCACGCCATGCCACGCCATGCCATGCCATGCCACGCCACGCCATGCCACGCCACGACATGCCATGCCATGCCACACCATGCCATCCATGCCACGCCATGCCACGTCATGCCACGCCATGCATGCGTACCAAGCGGTGTGAGGTCTCATCCTTGTCCAGCGCCCCCACATCCTCCAGCAGCTCTATGGCATTGTCCACCTGCATGCATGCATGCATGACACACGGATGGCACAAGAATGGATGTGCACGTGGATACATGGACAGACGCATGAAAGAAAACATGAAAACACAGGTGCAGGGATTAGCATGACGTACTAATCCTTCTCCAACGCCCCGTCCACCCCCCCCCCCATCCTCCAGCAGCTCTATTGCATTGGCCCGCAGCAGCTCTATTGCATTGGCCCGCAGCAGCTCTATTGCATTGGCCCGCAGCAGCTCTATTGCATTGGCCCGCAGCAGCTCTATTGCATTGGCCCGCAGCAGCTCTATTGCATTGGCCCGCAGCAGCTCTATTGCATTGGCCCGCAGCAGCTCTATTGCATTGGCCCGCAGCAGCTCCGGCTGACCATAGGCCGGCAGAGCAGCAAACAGCGGGCGCGGGCACAGATGGAATGGAAACACTCGCTATGCCTAGACGCGTCACAGATGGAATGGAAACACTCGCTATGCCTAGACGCGTCACAGATGGAAACACTCGCTATGCCTAGACGCGTCACAGATGGAAACACTCGCTATGCCTAGACGCGTCACAGGTTTCCATCTGCCATTAGAATCCAGCCCACCCCGTCCACTGCTAGCCATTCCCAAGTTGACTTTTGAGTCGACTCAAAGTCAACGTCCATGCTAGCCATTCCCAAGCTCACAGCTAGAGGTACTGGTGACTGTACGGCCACGTGAAAGAAGGAGTGTTTTGAGACGTCTCAAAACACTGCTAGCCATTCCCAAGCTCACAGCTAGAGGTACTGGTGACTGTACGGCCTTCCCCAGGAACTCTCCAATATTGCCCAGCCCAAGGGTCTTGATCTGCAGGCAATTGACAACCCATCCAGGGTCCAACTATACCCCCACTCACAGCTAGCGGCTCTGGCGGCTGTATGGCTTTCCCCAGGAACTCCCCGATGTTCCCCAGGCCGAGAGTCTTGATCTGCAGGCACAGCGAGTGCAGCGGCGCCCTCAGCAGCTCCGGCTGGCCATAGTCCGGCAGAGCAGCAAACAGCGGGCGCGGATACAGGTGGAAACACACGCCCGGCCGCACTCTCCCCGCGCGCCCCCGCCTCTGCTTCACAGACGCCTTGGAGACCCACTGGGGGAGGAGACACGGCACGTTGTTGACTGCGTCGTAGGAAGTTTCCTTGGCCTTTCCTGTGTCGATGACCAGGGCAACGTCGTTGATGGTGATGGAGGTTTCCGCCATGTTGGTTGCTAGAATGACCTTGGTCACCCCTGCGGGTGGCGGGTTGAATATTAGCTTCTGCTTGGGAAAGTTGGATAGGGGAGGAAAGGGGCGAAGATAGGGGAATGAATGTGTGACGGCGTCGTTGATGGTGATGGAGGTTTCCGCCATGCTGATGGCTACGATGACCTTGGTGGTGATGCCGGGAGGAGGGGGTTGAGTATGAGCTTCTGCTTGATGAGAAAGAGGGGTTAAGGAGGGATAAGAGGGAGAGGGATGCAAAGGGTGAGTTAGGGTTTACGATGCCAAGACGTCGTTGATGGTGATGGATGTCTCTGCCATGTTGGTGGCTAGAATGACTTTAGTAACCCCTGGGGGTGGTGGGGTGATTATGAGCTTCTGTTAGGGGGGACAGGGGTGGCAGGAAAGCACAGGGGGCGGGAAGGGGTTAAGATGATCAGGGCAACGTCGTTGATGGTGATGGAGGTTTCGGCCATGTTGGTGGCCAGGCCAGGATCACCTTGGTTGGTGATTCCTGGGGGTGGCGGGATGAAGATCAACTTCTGCTTGGAGGAAAAGAAGGTATAGGGGGAGATAGGGGGGTGAAGGTGGGGGGAGCGGGGCAAGGGCCACATCGTTGATGGTGATGGAAGTATTCGCCATGTGAGGTAAAGTTTTCGCCATGTTTTCTCCAAGTGAGGTACCGATGGCAACTGCATACCCCCATCTCGCACGCACCTGCTCATGCCCGTGGCACGTGAGCAGCAGCACCCGGCTCTCATCCCCCAACAACAAATGTCCCTCAGCCTGTATTGATCCATCCCCTTAGCCCCTCACCCCATCTCACACGCACCTGCTCTTCGATGGGCATGCTGCCATGACATGTGAGCAGAGCAGCAGCACGTGGCTCTCATCTCCCAGCAGCGGATGCTTCCTCAGCCTGTCCTGTCCCCCATGACAAAATCCTTGTACCCTCAGCCCACCTCAGCCCATCTCACACGCACCTGCTCTTCGATGGGCATGCTGCCGTGGCATGTCAGCAGCAGCACCCGGCTTTCATCCCCCAGCAGCGGATGCTCCCTCAGCCTGTCCCGCATGCCAATAATATCATCCCACCCCCGTCATAAACACCAGTATTGCGCCTGCATCCTTGCTCCCCACACTCCCTGCTGTGTCCTGCTTCCCTTCCCTCCTCTCCTCCTCCCTCTCCTGTATCCCATCTCTCTCCCTCACCACCTCCCACCTCCCCTTCCCCTCTCTGCCCCAGTCTCTCCCCCCCTCTCTCCCCCTTCCTTCTGCATCTGCGCCAGCAGCCGGGGGCCGCGCCGCACTGCAAACTCGAGAGCCGATTCGATGAGGGAGAACCCCACGCCCTCGCCCGTCCACTGCTGCATGGACCGTTGCACAAAGGGCGAGTGCGACGTAAACGAATGGTTGGTAAGAGCTTCCTGTGTGGCCGTGGGGGAGGAATCAGGGTGGGGAAGGGCATGGGTGGAATCGAAGGAAGGCGAGGAATCCAATGAGTGAAAGAACAACCACGCCCTCAAAGCTCCACCGCTCCATGGAGCGTTGCACAAAGGGCGAGTGTGAGGCGAAGGAGTGGTGGGCGAGAGCTTCCTGTGTGGCAGAGGGAGGGGAATGTGGTTGGGGAACGGAAAACCAATCCAATGAGTGGCAACTCCAGGTGACTTTTGAGTCCAGGTGACTCAAAAGTCACGAGGGGAATGTGGCTGGGGAACGGAAGTCCAATGAGTGGCAACTCCACGCCCTCACCAGTACACTGCTCCATGGAGCGTTGCACAAAGGGCGAGTGGGAGCGAAACAAGTGGTGGGCGAGAGCTTCTTGAAACAGCAGCGGGAGGAATTTGCAGGTGTTGAAGTTTGTCAGATTGCAAGGGAGGAGCGGCAGGGGCGGACGGACTAAAAAAAACCACGGATGCATCATATCATACCATGGCTGCACGAAACGGCAGTGGTAACACAAAAGTCACAGAACTGACTCGCTAACTCGAGAGCTCATGTCTTGAGCCGAAATAAAAAAAGAAACCATGACTTCCCTGATCCCCTGGGCAGTGCTTGAGCGAAGGGAGATACCACGAATAAGAAGCGCCGCTGACTTTTGAGTCGACTGAAAAATCAGGAAGGGAGATACCATGAAGAAGAACCGACGCTTTCACCGGCCCGGAAAGAATACCTGAACAAAGGAAGGTTCCAGGCTGTTTCTCCGCTTCTCCATGAGAGCCATCTGCCGCCTCCTCTTCCACTGCTGCTCGCTGCCGTAGTCGTCCACCTGTTGGGGTGTGGTGTGCGGTACGGTGCGGTGTGCGATTGGTTATGATGTGATGCGGTGCGGTAGTGTTACTTTGGAATGCAGTAAGGGTCAAGTAACCAGACATTGACTTGCTCTTCCACTGCTGCTCGCTGCCGTAGTCCTTGACCTGATAGGGTATGTGCAGTGGGGTGTGATGCGGTGGAGTTTGGTGCGGTGGGGTGGTGTCATTCAAAGAATCACAGTGACTTGTTCTTCCACTGCTGCTCACTGCCATAATCGTTCACCTGGGAGGCGTATGAGTGGGTGGCGCGATGTGGTATGGCATGGTTTGTTTGTGTGCTTGTTTGTTTGCTTGTTTGTCTGTTTCTTTGATTTTTTTTTTAACATTTGACAAACCTGATGGTGTTATGGGGAATGCAATGCGGTATGTGATAATCAGATCAGACAGTAACTTGCTCGTCCACTGGTTCCAATGCAGTAGTCATCCACCCGTGATGGAGTGGAAGAAATGTGACATACAACAAGGGCAGTGATTCTCAACTGGTACTGGGAAAGAAAGTGACGGGCAGTGCTGCAGTGGTCGGCCACAACGGGCAGCAGCAAAGAAAGAAAAGAAGAAAGAAGAAGGAGGAGAAGGAGGAGAAGGAGGAGAAGGAGGAGAAGGAGGAGAAGGAGGAGAAGGAGGAGAAGGAGGAGAAGA